GCCGCTGAGCCTGCGCGTCTGGAGCCTGTGCTCCGCAATGGGAGAGGCCACAACAGTGAGAGGCCCCCCGCCCCCCAAAACAAAAAAAAAAAAAAAAAAAAAAAAAAAAAACTATGACACTGTATTGTTGGAGTTGGACTTAATAAAGATGTAATACTTAGAATAATAATAGCACAAAGGAGGGGGAAATGGAGTCTTATTGGAGCAGTTTCTACAGTTACCTGGAATTAAGTTAGTGTTACCCTGAAGTAGATTGTAATGAGTTAAGATGTATTATAATAAGAAACTACTAAGAAAATAACTAAAACAAAACAAAAAAATTAAAATGGTACCTTAGACAATATCCCTTTTGAATGAAAAGACAGTAAAGGAGAAACAGAGGAATAAAAAAAATGAAATATATAGAAAATTGCAAGATGTCAGATGTCAGTTCATATCAACAATTACATTAAATGTAAAATGTAAAAACTCCAATTAAAAGTAGAAATTATCAGGCTAAATAAAAAAATAAGATCCAATTAGAGAGATTTTAAAGTCATTTTAAAGTCAAAGAGAAGAGTGAAAGTTAAAAGGATTAAAAAAGATATGCCATGCAAATGATAAACATAAGGGAGCTGGGATGACTATACTAATACAAAGTAGACTTTAAGACAAAAATGTTACTAGAGACAATGTGGGGCATTTTATAATGATAAAAGGGCCAATTTATCAGGAAGATATAACAGTTACAAACATATACATACCAACAACAGAACACCAAAATAAGTGAAACAAAACTAACAAAACTGAAAATAAAAATAGAAAATTCAATAATAACAGAAAGAGACTTCAATACCACATTCTCAATAATGAATAGAATGACTAGAAAGAAAATCAGTAAGGATATACAAAACTTGAGTAACATCATCAGCTAACTTGACCTGATTGAATTATCTATTAGAACACTGCACCCAACACATTCTTTTCTAATGCATATAGAATATGCTTCAGGATAGACCATCTATGCTAGGCCATAAAACAAGTCTTGTATATTGAAAAGGATTAACTCATATAATGTATGTGCCCTGACCACAACAAAATTAAATTGGAATTCAACAACAGAAAGTAATTTGAGAAATCTATAAGTATTTGGAAATCAAACAAATAATCCATGAATCAAAGAATAAATCACAAGGGGAATTATAAAATATTTTCAATGAAATGAAAATGAAACTATAATATATAAAAATGTATGGGATGACACCAAAGTCACAATCCATGAGAGAAATAATTAAGAAACTGGATTTCATTAACATTAAAAACTTCTGCTTTGCAAAAGACAATGTCAAGAGAATAGAAGACAAGCTATAGACTGGGAGAAAATACTTGCAAAATACATATCTAATAAAGGACTGCTATCTAAAATATACAAAGAACTTAAAACTTAATAAGAAAACAAACAACCTGACTAAAAAATGGGCTAAAGAACTTAACAGATACCTTACCAAAGAAGATATACAGATGACAAACAAGTATATGAAAAGATGCTCTACTTTATATGTCATCAGGGAAATGCAAATTAAAACAACAATGAAATACCACTCTATACCTATTAGAATGGCTAAAATTTGTAACACTAACAATACCAAATAGAAGCTAGAATGTGGAGGAACATAACTCTCATTTATTGCTGATGGGAATGCAAAATGATATGGTTGCTTTGGAAGTTTGGTGGTTTCTTACAAAACAAAACATACTCTTACCATAGAATCTAGCAATCATGCTCCTTGTTTTTACCCAAAGGAGATGAAAACTTATGTCCTCACTTTGTCTGCACATGGATTTATGGCATCTGTATTCACAAGTCCCAAAACTTGGAAGCAAGTAAGATATTCTTCAGTAAGTGAATGGATAAACAAACTGGTACATCCACACAATGGAATAATTTTCAGCACTTAAAAGAGATGAGCCATCAAGCTATGAAAAGACATGGAGGAAACTTAAATGTCTTTCACTAAGTGAAAGAAGCCAATCTTAAAACGCTATATACTATATGATTCCAACTATATGATATTCTGGAAAAGGAAAAAATTATGGAGATTGTAAAAAGATCAGTGGTTGCCAAGGATTAGGGAGAGGAGGGAGGAATGAATAGGTGGAGCACAGAGGATTTTTAGGGCAGTAAAT